TTGTTTTTAAGTATCTATTATGAGTTTATTTCCATTGTGTTCAGGCTTACATTTTTTAATCAAATAACAAATTGTACACACAGAAAAAAATAAATAAAAGCGATGAATTCTACTATTGATATATTTATAAAAATAATTATGTTAAACAATTAAGAAGCTGGAAATATATTATATCTCATTATTTGTATTCATTATTATTGTTATGATTAAACTCATCATAGATAATAAGATATTTTATCCAGTGTTGTATTAAATTGTATTTCCCGGAGGCAAAATATGTCGTATATTACCGGTACCACGATTTCTCGAGGACTCCCAAGAACTGATTATTGACCCGTGGACCGATAGATTTGACCCGAGAACTTGATTTTATATGGTGTTATACTGCTATTACAATATTAAAGTATATAATTCTATAGCTATGTACTTGAAATAAATTATATGATCTATATATTTCTTATTTAATATATCTAGAAAGAAACAGATGTAATTGTGGTATTATGTCAATGATTCAATCACAAATTCAGTCATTAACATTAATAAAATATGATTTTAACTAGTATTGGTAATTTGGTGTGGTATACGTTTCCTATGTTTACCTGAATAATTGTGTAATGAAGACTTGTATTTACCTGTTTGTAATTTAGCAGGCTTTTCTGATGTCATAACCTTTGTCTTGAGATTTTATAGCAATCCCTGTCTTTTTGTATTCAAATATAATTGTTATAAAATGTATGGACGGACTGTAAAAAGTTTATATTTTTTGCATCAATAACAGCTACTTTAAAAACAAGCATGGTCACAACATACATTCTTCAGACATTCGACATTCAAATAATGAAAACAGCAAATTGTATCTGAAGTATAAACACTATAAAAGACGCAGCCTTTTAAGAAAAATTCTGTCATCGACAAATTTTTTTTTCAATCGATTAGGGACGTAATTTGCAATCAATTTAAACTGTTAAAAATAGCGTACTAGATCTATGTTTCATGTATCAAAATATAGATGCAAAGTATTACTTTTATCTAAGGAATTTGAGAAAAAAATGTATACGTAGACGTGGGGTTGACAATTTTTACATATAGAGTAAACAGGTGACAACGAGAAAAAGAGCGATATTTACAATTGATCAGAGATGTTATCTAATCTAAATTTAAACTGTCAAGACCTACATTTTCAGAAAGAACTATATTCGAACACCAAGGAAAGAGATGCAAAAGGTAGAAAATGGGTCGGATTAACGAAAAATTCAGGTTTATTGAAGGGCCTATGTAATTTTTATGAGACAACTTGACTGAGGATGGCAAATTGCCACGTCATGAAAGTCACGTGATGTCTTACTTAGTTGGATATGGAAGAGCTATATGACCAAAAAGTGACATAAAAATAGCAGCCAATTCCATCTAAGGTCAACTTTGCCTGAGGGAGTTGAAACCTTAGTTTTTATATTTTATAAATTGATAAACGGACGATATAAGAAAGGTTTGTTATAATTCATGTCGGTAACGAAGTACTGACTACTGAGCTAATATATCCTGAGGCTCTTATGTTTATTATGCATGTTAACATGACAGGAATAAAAGTATGGTTGTTGTGCAGGTTGGTTTGGGTGTCTCTATATAACAAGCATTCAAGTGCTCAATGGATGCCTATTTGTTTTAGATTTGAAAAGTCTTGCTCTTGAAACCTTTAAAAAATAAGGTCTTTAAAACTGAAAAGAGGGTGCATAATGTTAAAGTATATAGATATATACAAAACAATATAGTGATTTTAAGCGAAAGCGTTTAATCAAACTTTAATTTCACAATGAAATTCGATCAAGAGTACGATCAAGCTATTAATTCGATTTTCAAACCAAATCACTGATCATAATCTTCTTAAATTAAAAAAAAGCAATTTAATCAGTAATGTCGTCATTGAGTCACAATTCCCCCTCCCATTAGAGCTGGATAATGCCCTGTATAAACTGTATATATTTATATATATAAAATCTTACCTGTAAAGATCGACACTGATTCCATCAAAAAATACAAATATACCGAATATTTTATCACCAAAATGCTGGAATGTTTTATCGACTGCATATTTATTAAGTTTCGTTGATTGATATTTCTACAGACAGTCGACATTCCAATGGGTAATACTTGTGCATTCCTACTGATCGATCATATGAAGCAGAATTCATACAGAACTTTCTCAAAGACAAAGTTCTTTTGTTTCACTTTTAGATATATTGATGATTTCCTGTCACTCAACTACCCACATTTCAATGAATGCGTTTATCTTAAACAAGAATGTCTGCTTCATATCTTGTTATTTTCCTCGATATTGACACAGATGGACGACTTCAAACTAAAATTTATGACAAACGTAATGATTTAAACTTTCCACTTGTCATCTTCCCATTTCTTATACAGATACATACCCAATCGTATTGTAATCACATATCTCAATTCATACGTTACATACTTTTGTTTGTCTTTTGATCGTTTATAGTGTTCCGCCATTGCATTGTCTGTTTGTATTCGACTAGTGATTTTAAATGTCCCTTTGTTATATTTTGCCTCTCTTTCACACTTGTGCATGTTCGCACTATACGGACTGCATTAACAGGGGTGTACTCCTTACACAAAACTGTTCCAATAGAGTTCTGAGGAAGAACGACTGAAATTGACACCATATATGTTAAACGGTCACCATCACGAATTGGTTGATCGATACAATGTGTCTGAGTGTTAACTCACTAGCGGCATGTTTTCGCGGTCTTAGATCTTTAAATACCAGAAAAGCCGTCTGATCTATAATTTTAGGGATTGTGACATTTTGTGTATGTGAATTCGCATGACCGGTGATGCATGCATAGCGGGAGACGCTTACCCTGTCTGCGCACCTGGTCTCGCTCTTTTGTTTACTCTGATGGACAGGACCCTGTAATCCATTGGTTTTCATTGGTTGTTGTCTTTCAGTATTAGTTGTGTTTGCTGTTTAAATATAAGTCAGGCCATTGGTTTTCTGTTTTGAATTGTCCAACTTTTAATATCCCGGGTTTTGCTCATTGTTGAAGGTCGTACATTTATTTAATGGATAGTTGTCTCATTAGCAATCATACCACATCTCATAATTTTTTATCATGTTTAGTTTACATCTTGGTTTGGGTCTTTGGTCATTGTTGCAGTTTTGTGTTCTTGTACAGATAAGTGCTGCCATAACCTGTACAAAAGTTAACTTTGAGCAGTTATTTTAACTTATATAAATATTTTAAGCAGAAAAGTAAATTAATATTATCGGTGGCAGACAAAACCTGGTTTGTTTTTTTAAGACTTGACTGCTCCATGTGGACATGTCTTCTTTGACCGGAATGATCGTTTCTAGCAGTTTGGTAGATAATTTTCAGGTTTTTATCATAGCATATTCCTTATTTTGATATTGACCCTGGTTCCCTCATTTTAATGACAATCTATTTTGATAGTCAGTATAGTTTCTTAATTGCTCTGACCAGTCATGAGGAATATTGCAAGCTAAACAGAAAACATTTTTAATATAATGCTTGCAAAATGCATCAACTTAGAATTCGTCAGATCTGTACGTAATAAATAACCTTAAAACCGAACCAATAACTACTAGTAAGATTATATCCACACTTTGACAGTATAATGTATTGATCTAGTTTGCCAGTCATTCTTTCCAACACCAAGAATGTTGACATGGTGAGTGGGCGTCTATTTTGACTGTGATGGATGTATAAATACGTAACCTCGTACGGTCATAATTTGGAAGTTATGACCAATGAGTATTATTGGAAGAGTACTACGCCCTCTGCACGTAAAAATATTTGAAATAAAGTCTTTAGATGACCAATCTGAAATTTATTATATCAACTAAACATAAAAAATAATTGTCGAAGCTGGGGATAACCAAAAGGCGTGAAGGGGGTATATTTGTTAAGACATCGCGTTTATGTACAAATTTATTTTAATTTCATTGCATTTCCATACCGACTCTGCTCCTTAAACTTCTTATATCAGTCGAAACCGTATACCAAGGCGTATACGGAAAGCATACACTACTCCATGTATTACATATTTTCCATTCGATCCATTGTTGCGACTTAAATTAATTCTTAAGAAAAACCATGACAACTGACGTATATTCATAATGAGAACCACCTATTACGAAATACACACAATATACTTTAGTAATTGATATTTCAGGTTCAAATTAGTCATATTAGCTATTCACCACATTTCACATCAATATAAGTGATAATTAGAGTAAGTTAACGAATTCTAGTAATAATTTTCGATTTGGGATGGGAGAAATGTAAAATTTAAAACGATTAGGAAAAGGTTAAAGTAGGAGAAAAGCTTACAATCTTTAGTTTTCTTTGTTGTGTTTTGTGTACTGTATGTCTTTTCGTTTTTTGCCATGGTAGTGTCAGTTTGTTTTCTACTTACGAGTTTGAATATCCCTTTGGTATCTTTCGCCTCTCTTTTATAATCTTTAATTTTTCAGAATTTACTCCCAAAGTGAAAATCTGCATTATAACTTCCGCTGTTGTCATTTAGGACCAATGCGTTTAGAAATAATAGTTCTCTATCGAATTCATTACATTATGTTGACTAAATTTATTATACAAACACCTAGGTGACAATGAGAAATCTTCCTATTGTTAACTCTTTTCTATTATTTCTCACTCGCCTACAGTGCAAAAGAGCTGAACGTCAAAAGTTTTGTCTGTGTGCATATAGGGTAAAGGACAACTAAATATATCTCAGATGCTTAAAATCAGGTTCAATTAAACCTGTAAAATGATTTCCTTCTGTGTGTGTTCTAAATTTTTGAAATTAACTTATTGATAAAAAAAGAATCATTTTAGAAATTTTCCGTTTTCTCTTTTTCAAATCGCACTAAAGTGAATATACCTGATAACAATCTGGTTTCGTTTAATTATATTTTGGGACTAATATATTTATATATCTACTGACAAATACTAATATTGTGCATCACTACATATTTTATTTTTAAATATGCATTTATAGATATGTATGTATATCGATTAAACAGTGTTAAATATATGCATAATAAAGCCGCTATAAGTATTTGTACACACCATACATACTTGTTACACATTTTAATTTAATAAGTCTTCTTTATTTTTCCCGTAATATGTTTCTCTGACATTTTCGAAATCGGGAAGCCCTTCATATTCAAGGTAGTTCTGTTTAACATATTTGGTAGCATTGATCATATATGGTCCATATTTCTCCGGAATGTGTTTTGAATCCTCTGTTCTGGATAGAAGGTTAATTCCAACATCACTTTCATAGGATGGTTCAAGGAAAAATCCAGAAGAGTACCGATCTACTCCAATATCTAATACGCGGTGAATTGTTGCTTTGAATCTCCCATTCGTCATCTTTGCGAACAAATCCCCGATATTCATGACGAAACTATTTTTCCTTGGAGCAACTGGGTTCCAACTACCATCCGCACCAAGTATTTCCAGTCCCTGATAAGCAAAAGTACATATCAATGTGAGAAAGTTGGTATCAGTATGCTGAGACAGTGTGACACATTTACCATCATCCGTTATAATAGCATTAGGAGATGGTGTGCCATTCCAAGGAGGATAATGCGTAATACGGAAAGTACTGCATGGTTTATCCGTAAACATCTCAACGAACGTCTCCTCTGCTAAACCAACGCCTCTTGCTACAAGTCGAAGAATTTCCATTGCTGCCGTATGTGCAGCTTCATATTGGTTTTGAAAGATGTCTTTGAATGGAAACTTTGCATCTTCTTTCGGCCATGGAGTACGCTCATAAAACCAGTTTTCTGGATTATTGTCTTCATCAATGGCAGATATGTCACGGCCGAATTCGAAACATTCATTGTGATTTGGATAATCTTCTACGACTGGAAAATATCCTCTGTACAAATTTGTATTTTCTGGGTTCCAGTAATTTCTCATTACTTTTCCTTTAATTTCGATTGGTTGATCGAAGAACCATTTAGAGCATTGAAACATTTTCTCGAAATCTGCGCCTTCGACATTATCGATATAAAGAAATCCAACCGTTTCTAAAGCGTTGACAAGTTGCTTTGACAGTTCGTCTCTGTGAGTTTTAGACTTTGATAAGTCTATGATAGGTAGATGAAAATCTGTCATGGTCACTACCAATATCTGAGAGAATAAAATAATCAGATGTTATAATCACTGACTTTTAAGCAAATAAAATAATCATACTCAAGGATAAATTACAGTTTACTAACAACAAATCAATAATGCCATAATACTAAATCAGTCCCAAATTTGTTTCTACTGTTGATATCTGCCCTGATTATGTTCAACGCTTGTATATTACAACACCCATGTGATATCTGTCGCTGGCGCTTATAATAGACAGACAATGATAAATTACTACACAAATCAAATGACTGGCCATGTTACATATACACCACTGATGCCTGTTTTTCTGATTTTTAACATTTGAATTATAACTTACTACTGGTTAAAGTCGATGCATTTTTAAACATTTTTTATTTTTAATATCCAATATTTACGCTAACTCTTCTGACAGCGGTTAGGGCATCCTAGCTAAGATAAGATAGTCCTAAGTTATCCCTAAGATGGGTCTTAGGACAGTTCCTATGCCAGCTTCAATAAATAGGCTCCTGTGTAGTGAATCCTATCATTTTACAAGCGATTATTTTGATTTGCGTTAATAGAAACTTTTTCAGAAATTGAAAGACCATGTTTATTTTAAAATTTCAAAGATTTGTCCAAAATGTATTAAATTCAGATTACATTTTTCAATTTCAGATTACATGAGACAACTGTAAAAAAAGTTTTACATTTATCTTCGTGAAAACTGTTGCATTAATGTTTTTTTTATCTATAAATGAAGATGTTCTTATATCCTAATGGCACCGTCCACTGGTGTCAATTGCCGTCAAGTTATCTATGTTGCTATACCTTTTATGCTTTTGATACTGGTAGAATAAAGACATTTCCACATATATATTAAGCATGCCAGTCAGTCATTAAGGTATCATCCCCTGGTGCCAGCTGCATTTAGGATACCACACTGCTATCTTACTTGCTGCTGACACGTGAAGGACTATAAATATGCTGAATCTTCTGGGCTAGACAACTTTATATATATATCTTTTATTAATTTTTATTAATTTTTTTTTTCTCAATCATGATATAATTATAAACCTAGTATCAACCACACTATAAAAGCTTAAGCTGCTTAAATATTTACTTAAGAAAATATATATATATATCACTTGATGTTATTCTCAAATTACAATCTTATTGTCATGTCAAATGTGTATGCCCTTCGGGGTCCTTTAATAGGAATAAAATATTCTTCTTCTCTAGTTTTTGCAACTGTATAAATTTAGTGAATTGAGATGTACAATAGTTATCAAACTTTGTAAAAGAGTTCGTTGTATTGGATCATCTGTTTAATTGTAAAACAAGTAAGGGGCCAGAGGCGGATTTAGAGGGTTTTCCAGGGGGCCCGCCCTCCCCCCCCTTTTGTAGGAAAAATTTGGTTGATTATTTAGGGAATCACTGAAGCATGACTGGAGCGGGCCCCCTCTTAGGCAGTCAGTGCCCCCCCCCCCCCCTTTATGAAAATTTCTGGATCCGCCACTGAGGGGTGAACATTTTAAGTATAGGAGCAGGGGGTTCATTGTCAAATTCCATTTCTTGATTACCCTTTTAAGCAATGATTGTGTTATTTTGAAAATCAATTTAGATGTCATATAGCACGTGGTAGTGAACGACATAATTGCAATTTTGTTTCAATAAATAAATGCGGTTATTTCAATTTATGTTTTATCTAGGTAAATATAAGATACGGAAGAATTATATTCTTTATTTGTAACATTGAAGAATACATGTTGTATACGGAACATTTCATTCATATCCCATTTTCCAAAATATTTGATTTAATCAGATATAGTTTAAGTTATTTGACCTCACTTGAGCAGTTACTATTTTTATTTGTCAATTTCTTTCCAAGGATTATAATTATGTATTAGATACAGAACAAAGGTAACAAAAAAACAGGCTGGTAACAACCGTTGCCGTATAGTTTTTCTGCACGAGTAGTCAGGTCAATGTCCGAGGCGATGCCATTGACCTAACTACTCGTGCAGAAAAACTATACGGCTGGTAGTTACCAGCCCGTTTCTTTTGCTTTGTATCTGACTTGTAAGACCTTTTTAATTAGAAAGTAATACATTTTGCATTTGGAAGACGATTGCATAACAAAAAAGATTATCCATACTGGTTTATGCAATACGATGTTTGGAGATATGTAGTCATTAATAAATTAGAGATTTTGCGTTAACACTAGAGCTTCTCAATTCTTCAAGCTGTGTCCGAGTAAAATTATTGTTGGTTATTTAATTATTTTGATACATATTAGTGACGTAGGAGTAGATTGAAAAGAGGGAGACTTCTTTATGTGGCAAGCAAAAAAAAAATACTAGTCTAGTAGTTTAGAAGTAAGTTAATGTCCTCTATGGTCATGATGGTAGCCATTTTATATTTCAATAACAAAACAATTGCCTAAAAGTGTGTGCGGGGGGTGAGGAGGTGGGGTTGGGGTGTAAAACATAGTTTTGCCTCTCACTCTTGAAAGTGTGTGGAGCGGGTATTGTCCCCTTTTCCGATTCCTATGCCAAATAAAACAAATAAAAAATAAACAACATAAATATGAATAACAAATTTAAGACATTTAAAAATCAATGACGTCTGAAAATTAAATAAGAAAGAGAAATCAGATAAACGTTCATACAACATGTATAAATATGAAATCAATAAAATAAAGGAAACAAACAAATCTTAAAAAAACTGTTTCTCTTAATTTATGAGGAATAATATGGATTATGGATTAAATATTGGATTTTGTCTCGTTTCTTATTTTAGGGTCCACATATTTTTGGAAATCAAAATTTTCAGTTTATTTTTGTGCTCATTATAGTAATCTGATATTCGAGTAGACCCAAGTATTGATCACGTGACACAATTTTTTTTTCATTTTCCATCCCGGTGTCCAAAATTGGTGGTAGTTTATTTGACGTTGAGACTATCACAATTCGACTAAACAAATTCTTCGAAGATAAAAAGAGAAAAGGGGAATATTAATCATCCGTATAGTTCGATTTAGATGATTCGAAAGATTTCAACTTAACAATCAAGCAAACCGATGAGAGGTTTGTACATGGAAACATTCTGGTTGTCATCAGTAAATTCGTAGACAGTTTATTTGATTTCAGCATTTTGGGACATAATTAGCATTTTTATAAATATAATTTTTATGAACACTTTTCATATAAAATATTTTTCTAAAAACAGCTACTTGGGTCACAAGGTGTTCGAAAAATAAACTCACTGAATGCACGAGTGACTCTAATCATAAAAAAGTGTCCATGTAACTTCCTAAAAAGTGTCCGTGTAACACCCGTTAATGTACTGTTTTCTATATCTCTGCTGGGGCAAAGTCGTACAAGAAATATTATTGTGTATGTAAACATTATTTTGGTCATTAACACCTCACCAATGAAATACTTTACTCTCAATGTATTCACCATCAATGTATGTGTAACATAGGAACAGCAAAGTTATACGCTTTCCATATAGCCTAAGATTTTAAAGGGTTATAATAATTGTATTTGGATAAGAAAAAAATCTCTTTTTAAGTATTTTATTTTATCCAACTTTATTGAGAATATTTTTAATTAAAAGAATTACTAAACTAAGTAAAAAGGGTACCCAACTTTTCTTGAGCCGTTGGCAAATTAAACCATGATTTTCACGGCGCGTTGCGTTTGCGCGAACAAAAAATCAACGTTTGCGCGAAATTTACCAGTTCATATTTTACTACGTTTTTACGGAAAAGTTAAATGTTCTATACAAAAAAGTAATTGAAACAATCATGATGTCCGAAATAAAACAAAATTGATTAAAATTGTAAAAAAATGAAAGTGAAATGATAAAGTAATAATCTATATTCAAGATTTTCAGCGCTTTCGACTACATAAATGTGTCAGGAGCTTTAAGAAGATCAATATCTTTATTTAAAAAGAGAAGATGTATTTGTCTATGGTAGGACCTGTCAGTTTATATGAAACGTTAAATGTTAAAATATTTGATGTATTATTAGGAATTCAAATCCTCAAAAAACAGAAAATTACACGTTTATCTTGGAAGTCCAAAGAAGTCGTAGATATGTCTTCATGGTAGATTTGAAACAGATTTTACATGACATTTTACTTCATTAGTTGAAGCATGGCAAAAATAATAAACTGTCAAATTAAAAATAAATAAAACACTTACAAATTTATAACTATTTTCAGACAGTCCCTTCGATATTGAATGATGTTTATTTGTAAAGAAGTTATAACACTTTACTTCGGCTTTTTATTATTTTCCTGATACATAAATACATAAATACAAAAAGACGTTTTACGTTTTAGTTTACCAACCTTGCGAGTCTGTCTTGGGTAGTCAAGGACGTTGAATACCCCCGTAGTAGATGAAGTAGAAATTATTTGTACATACATAAATCAATAAACAAATTTGATTTTTTTTCATTAAGTTCCAAATTATCTGCTCTATAGAGTTTTCACAGTTAGAATCATAAGACCGTATCTAATGTCAAAACTACTTCCAAATTGAAAAAAAACTATTAAAAACTTTCGTTGCGACAAGTTTTATACTTACTTCATTTGTTTATAATAAAGAAAGTTTAAATTACATTTTATGAAAGAAAAGAAAAAAACATGTTTGTATTGCGCAGTAAGGGGACGACCATTTGATTTTCTGGGGTGGGGTGGGGTTGCACGATGATTTTCAAAATAACTTGTCCTGGTAAGAACTGAAAATAAATAAATTTGCACAAGACAGGATGAAAATGAATATTTTGCAGCATAAAATGCCGGAAACACTGAAATGTGTACAAAAGTGAAAATACATTATCGCGCGGAGAAGCCGAGGAAAAATTATAAGTATGAGTAGTTACAAATGAAAATAAATTATCAACCCGGGAAAAAATCCTCCCTCTCAGAATATCAAATGGTCATCCCCTAAAATTATTACACAATGAACTTTGTGTTCAAATAGGTTGTCGGAGATTACTCAGCGTCAATATAATACATGTATAT